TTGGTTATTCCCCAAAGGGAATGGGCTAACAATACTTATTAAGCTTTAACAAAATTAGTTGAAGATTAACAGGTATTGTTAATGGGAATATTCAGCAAGGCTATGAATACTGTGGATAAGTTGAGTAAGAGTACTGAAGCTTAAGAACAATAAATGTAGACAAGATTTATGTTGGTTACGGGTACTGTATCAATATAAATGTTAACTGGTTTAACTGGTGTCTGAATATTCTGGGGATTAATCAGTGGAAGTGGCACGGATTATAAGTTCCAGAATACTGAAGGGGGAAAGAATGAGCGCTCAGAATCAAGGGAGCTTTGGCCAGGAGAATGAGCACATCAATTGAGTGACTGATTTATTTGTCATGATCTGTAAGTGACATCATAATTGTGTACTAGTTGATCAATGTACTAGTTGCTCTTGATGTGTACTTAACAGATCCTCTAATAATGTAGTCATAATTGTGATCAGTGCATGTATTGAATGTATTAATTCTATTGACACTTAATACTTACTATTTAATACATGTACATATTTATTGTAATAATATTTGACCGTGAAAATACTGTAGCAGAGGGATAACTTGTGGTACAGGTATTTCACGGACAAGGGGGTGAAAGGTAAGTGATAATTACTTATGTATAACACAGGTATGTATTTAAATAGATAAGTAATTAACAGATAAGATAAATGTAAGATAAATAAGATAAGATAAGTTAATGATAATAATAAGATAACAAGAGGTAAAGGTAATCAACATTATGGATAAGTACTTATGTACATAAGTACAGGTGTTGCAGTTACTTGGTACATGAAAGGTACTGTGACATGTACTCTGTGGCTGACATCGCGCGTGAAAGGCTAGTCGATAGGAGGGGGGAACTCCGGATTTCACCAGGATTGACCTGTGAAACCGTTGGGTTGGGGAGGTACTTGGGTTGGTATAGCGATTGCACATCTAGCAACGCTATACCTCCCGAGGGGGGGAAAACTAAATTCTCCTCCCCTTTAGCACCCCCGGTGGCAGGGGAATTTTGGGCTTGGGGAGGTAAATTTGGTTTACAACCGCAGTTTACCTCCCCGGGTGGAGATGGTCTTACAGCTTGCATATAAAAGGGATGCATTGTAGATAGTCTAGCCAAAATCCCTCAGTATTTTCAGGTACAGGGCAGCTAAAATGCCTCATACAGGGGGTCTCTTGGGGCTAAAATACCTCATAATTTACTATATAAGGAGGCCTCTGCCTGCCAGTTGTTTCCTCCTCATCCCACTCAGTACACATTTTTGGTGGGACACCTGTCACAGATATTTATTACACAAGAGGTTCACAATTAGTACAGTTCACACTTGAAATATATACACAGTTTCACAAACATTACACAGAAGAACCAGTCCTTTGTTCCAGTCCTGGTTGAAGCAAAGTGCTCCCAGCATTATTGGGTTCAAGAACCAACTCTATTACATTACACATATACAGTATCAAGGCATCAAGACGAGAAACAACATCAATAACTCAATCAATTCTTTGGACAACAAGATCAACCTTCAACAATTATACAACCATCTTTGAACATAATCCATTATCACCAACCAAACTGCCAAGCTTACCTTGGTGGTCTTGTTTTCTGATAATATAGGAAGGCAGAGTTTGCAGCTCATTCATCCCTTTCTCCATTCAGCAAAAAGGATCTTACAATCACTTTTGAGTCTTACAGAGGAAACACACATCCGCATCCGCATCCGCCGGAGGATACCCGCCCTCTGAATGGGCGGCGAGGCAGCCGGCTCTTCCAGGAGAGTGTTTTTTTTTTAAAAAAAAAGAAAAAGAAAAAAAAACCCGGCCCCCTTGGCCTAAAGGGGCAGAGGCCACACCGCCGGGAGGATCCCTTCCGGCGAGCTGGATTGTGTACTAGCTCATCAGAAGGGGGTCCTTCCGATGAGCTGGTTTAAAAACCAGCTTGTCGGGAGGAATCACTCCCTTCGAGCTGGTACACAGACCAGCTTGTTGGAAGGACCCCCTCCCGGCGAGCTGGTTTTTAAACCAGCTTGTCGGAAGGACCCCCTTCTGACAAGCTGGTACACAATCCAGCTTGCCAGGAGGAACTGCTCCCAGCGAGCTGGCCTGTAGACGCTTGCCGGGAGGGATTCCTCTCGGCGGTGTGGCCTCTTGGTACCGGGTATCCCTTGGGATACCCAGATACCCGCCAGTATTTCAGGGGGAAGGGTGCATCCGCACCTGCTGGCGGGTATCCGCCAGCGGATAGCGGATATCCACGGCGGATTATCCGCAACCATCTCTAACCAGCAGTGGGCGGCTACAACACTGTTTTGCTCAAAAAGTGTGAGTGTAGCTTCTTTTTTTTGTGTGGGAATTGTGTAGTGTTAGCACTAAACTATGCTAGACTACGGACCGCTAATGGCTGCTACAGGGCCAACGTGCGGCTAACTAGTGTTTTGGTGTAGTGTAGCAGACACATTTGAGCGGCCTGCGCTTGTAGTGTTAGCTCAGGCATGGCAGAATTTGGCCACACTACACTATTTTTTTTTTTTCAGCAGTGCCAGAAATACACTATGCTGAGCTACAATAACACCATGGTTAGTGTAACTGGCCCAACCATTGCCTCAACCCTATTTCCCAATCTCATCATTACATAGAAAATACCTTGGCTTGAAGGTGATATACACTACATGTAAAAAAATGATCAGAGATCAAAATGGTTTGTGTAGATGGATGTGATTTAGTCTCAGCAATGGACATCATACATATTCATACAAAACTGTCAAAAAGACGTGTCGCTACAACTATATAACAAACAGTTGAAACATCATTGTCTGAATAGTCTAGGTCTAGGATGATAACAAAAAAGGAGAGTGATACATGGATCTATTTTTGTATATGATGGAGTGATATTTTGAGAGCTTCTAATCTCACATGTTTTCTTTTTTTTGGGTTGGTGGTTCTACTACGCACATGCACATCAAAAGAAAACAATCTAGAGAACATATAAACGGTGGTCAAAAAAAGTAAGGTAAGGTTATGTAATATATGAAAAAAGAACAAAAAGAAGAAGGGGATAAAGAAAATCTAAGACTACTACACAATATTATATAATCAATACAACAGGACTGATAGATCTGTTTTGGTTTTTTTTTGTTGGGATGATAATAGATGAATGATTCAATACAAATTACATGTGATGAGAGCAGGACAATGAAATAAAAAATGGGTGGAAGGTGGGGGGGGGGAGTACCGAAAGAAACACAAACAAAGCTTCCCCCTTTCTTTCTTTCTTTGAAAGAAAAGTGGGATGATGAATAGAGGGAGAAGCCCCCAAAAGATAGACGAAGTTAGATCAGATCGCTCCGCCTTCGAGCTTCGGATCGCAGTCGACCGGAAGCGGCGTGTTGGAAGCGTTTAAGTCAGGCAGAATCAGTCTGCCGACTTTCGAATATTTGGGCGAATTCTCAAAGAAATTGATCCAATAATCCAAAGACTGAAAAAGAAAAAAAAAAAAAAAAAAAAAAAAAAAAAAAACAGCCATCAAGATATCAGTGAATCTTCCCAAAAGAGAAAAGAAAGAGAAAAAGGGAGGTACTTTTTTCTGACGATCATTAAGACCACGCAGGTCGAAAGTAAGGCCGGACTTGAAGCAACCGGTGACGAAAGCTCTGCTGGCGTCTTTGCCGACGAAGTGGTGGTACGAGCCGCCGGGGCCATACATGGCGGGGTTGGCGGAGACGTCGAAGACGCGGGCGTCGATGGCCAAGAGGAGCGGCTTCGAAGGGTCTTGGACTCCGTCATGTAACGCCAATCTTTCGAGCGTGAAGGTTTCTTGTGGACCCTTGCAAAATTCAATTTTCAAACACATATACACATCAAGAAAAATCGTGCCACTTTAACTGAAGAAAAAAAAGAAAGAAATTATGCGAGGTAATATTATGACTTACGGGGAAGTAGTGGCTCAGTCGGGCCCATTTCCCGTCGTATCCCCATAGCCAATGTTCGGTGATCATCCGACTAAGTAAGATGCTGATGAGAAGGATGAGGATTGAGTATCTGATTCCGGAGACGAGGAGAGCGGCAGATTTGGCGAGGATCGAATGGGAGTGCTGGTCGATTTGCCTGATGTTCTTCTTCTTGTTAGAGTTCATTTTCTTCTGTTTTTCCGACGACGAAGAAGAAGAAGATGATGATGAGGAGGAGACGGAGGTGGTAGTGATTGTGGGAGGGTTGGTGATGTTGTCGATGGAGCGACTCTGTTTGTGACGTTGATGGACGAAGAAGGGCGAGTTGGATTTCTTGCCGGAGACCAGTTTGCCTTTGAAGAGTACTTTGGGGATCGCCAGTTCAGAGGGAGAGGGTGGTACTGGAGTGGGCATCATCTTGAACTTCCTAGTGTTTGAAAAAAAGAGACAAAAAAAATACAAACCAACTCAACAGCAACCAGGCTCGATCAATCGTCAGCTTCCTCACAATCGACACGTCGATCTCTAAATCATCCGATCCACATGCAAGTGCCGTGTGATCATAACCTCAAAATCTGTCTTGAATGACGTAATCGGGTTTGGTGGTCTAGTAGTATGATTCAACCTTAGGGGCTTCCCTCCGCAGTGGGGGCTTGTCTGGGTGAGGTCCCGGGTTCAATTCCCGGCCAGACCCTTTTTCACATGCTGATGTTTTTTTGCTACATGTGATCAAAATCTATATCCCCAATCGCTTCACAGGGTAAACTTTGTGTAACTTATAGCTAGCAGTTCAGGTTTCTCTTCTGTTTGATCACTACAGGATGTATCTTTAATCTTATTATCATAGACAAATTCACGACATTAACACATAAATGAGATCACGCTTACTTAAAAAAAACAATTAAATATGTATCACAGCACATTTAATCCGACATCGATCATATTTTTGAAGATAAATAGTGACAACTAAAACATACAACAAATACATGAGAAAAAAATCAAGTTATAAGTTCATGTTGTTCTCTAGTTTTTTATTTTATTTTCCTTAAATTTGTATATGTATCTCTTCTTGACGATCTAATTCCTTGAAGCAGAACATTCAACCAAAACAAAAAGACCAAATAAAAACCCCACTCAATCTACCAAAGATCAAGGAGAATGAAACGTGATTGCACACGGGCCAAAGGGTTTCAGTGAGTGTGGAGGAGGATATGATCAAGTTAAAGAGTAGGAAGCCGAGGTTTAGCGAGAAGGAAGAGTTCGTCAGGGTGGACGAGAACGCCAAGGGCTCTGCGTTGGAAGTCGTTCAAGAACTTCAAGCCTAATTGATAACTCGTGTTACACCAACCAAACCCTTCTCTTGGAACCATCTATACCAAAACATCAAGCTTGAAATCAGAATCATAAGAAAAGCCGAGAGCAAATTAGATTGATGGTAGACTTACCTTGAAATCAACCCCTTGGTTGCCATACTCAGCATGGACCAAATGATTGAGCGCGATCGCATCATATTTCTCAGGTACAACCCCGTTATAATCCACAAACGCTTTCGTCATCCTGTGTTCATATCAAGACAACAACAACAACAACAACAAAATGAGAAGGGGAATCAGAGTATGAACATTAAAGCAATAATACGATAGAGAAGGAGAGCTGGGCGGATAGGGGGGGCAGGCTTAACATGTATAACCATCGGTAAGCGGTTCGTTGAGATTCTTGGGTGAACCCATATCGCTCCAATCCGACCCAAGCCAAGATTTGATGAGGAGCCCAAGCGGCAGGATAACTGGAATGGATGGTGGTCAGCAGCTAGAAAGTGCTAAAATCCAAGTGTGATCTAGTGATTTCTTCGACTCACTCCCATTGTCGATTGGGTCTTACTAAGCTTATCTCCCCTCGAGATGCTTCAGTACATGCCACAAGTCCACCAGGTACTTCAAACTTCCTCAACGACGTCTTCCTAGGAAATCCGAAAAGAAAGTTAATTCAACTTCTCTACACTTTTCCAAGCGACTAATCAGGAATAATATACACTTACACCAATTTTTCAGCTTGTTCTTGACTAGCAAGACCGGCCCATAATGACCAGAAAGCAGTCACCGACTCATAGTTGGATTGTTTGAATTCCTTAGCATTGAAATCGAAGAAGAGAGATTTCCCAGGATTCCAAAGGAAATGGTCAATCAACTGTTTACGTCTCTTAGCGCGATCGAACCATTCTTTCGAGCTCTGAACTTTTTGATCGATGGGGACATGTTGTTGGTGTGGTGGTGGTGGTGGTGATGGTTGAGAGTGATCAAAATATTCCGAATACGGAAGTTCTTCTCCAAATGGGAAACTAGAGAACTCGAACTCTTCATCCAGCTCCAATCGATCGTCGAAAACATCTCGAATACACGTAGCAATATCGATCTCGTATTTATATAATAGACTGTTCAAGTCGATCGTCACCAGGTCCGCACATACACCTTCGAAACGATAAGTAGTGTCGTGTCCAGATTCTCTGACCGCTCGATCGTGAGTGAAGTATTCATCTAATTCTGGCTCATGGACCTTCTCTTGATTGTAAGCATCAATAAACTCATTCACGCTCATCGAATGCTTTTGAGCATAAGGCTGTAAGACGTGTGTAAAATGAGAGGATTCAGTTTCTGGAGGAACTCCGATCCCATCCGGTCGATATCGACTTAATCCCGTCCTAGGTTCTAGTCTTGGTTTGGCCATCCAAACCGTATGATACTCCTTGATCGCAGCTTTGATCACTTTGGCCAACCAAATCTTGTTTTCAGTGATTTGAAGCGGGTGTAGTCGAGAGTACACTTGCAAAGCGAAATCGGTCAGGAATGGAGGTTGAGAACGACACAAGTAGTATGACCGATTGCCACTGTGTTTATGGAAAACAATAAATATCTGGGTAGAAACCTGCATTAAATCAAGAAGATCTCACTTCAAAATCTTCCCATAATGATTGATTTCGAATACGAAATGTTCGACGATCCCTTGAGCGAGTTCCAAATGATCATCGATCAACAGTCCGATTGAAATAAAATAACTGAATGGAACGTAAGAAAAGTCACTCGTTAGAAACTGCTGTATCGAACATGACAGATCCAGAAGGTTGTGTAGGTCATCTTACGAGTCCCACTAAAAATTTGAGGGTTCATCGAAAGAGTGGTGCCATACAAATGAGTCGTCATACACACACGTAGAAAGCGTTTATATCATCAAAAGTAAAATACGAACATTATAGAGCTCATTGAACCGAGCACCAGGCACGACGAACGGGATAGCTTGTAGTTGATGATGACCTGGGCCGACCTGAACTTTTTTCATTGCGAGAGCCAAGATGCCGGGGCGGTCGTTAAGAGAGCGAACGAAGCTAGGAGTGATGTCTGATAGCTTGGGCAGCTCCTCAACGATCAATTTGATCTGAGGATGTTGACTAGCGACTTGTTGATAGTAAGCCAAGATCTCTGCTTCCCCATGGGGGACGTAAATCCTTCTGGCTTGGGTGGATGATCGATCCTTGGGGTCAGTCAAGATCGTCAGTAATCCAGCTTCATCGATCCTTCGCGTCAGTGAGGGCCAAAACGTCGTCTTGATCATTCGCGAAAGTCGATCCACTGGGTTTTCTGTCAGTCTTCCTTCATCTAACACAATGTGTTTTCGACCATATGATGAAGCAAGTGCCAGCCTGTATAAAACAAACTCATGTCAGCAAAAGGATGAATTATCTAGTTGAAGAACAACCTACTCTTGCAAGAGGTTGGAGATCATATATTGTCCTCGAATCTGTGATGATAAGATTGACAGTTATTCTTTTCTTTTCTTTTGTCTAAAAGCAGAACAATTAGAAGACTGACGTCGAATTTTTTGTACCCATTAGAAGAAACCGTTCCAACAGATAACAACTTCGGACCTGAATCAGTAATTGAGATCTGAAAGTCGCCGTTTGTGTCTTCTTGTTCTAAAACCAATCTGATGGTTTCTTCTACTGGGAGTAAGAACTTCCTAGCTTGGATCGGTTTTTCATCTATTCATTATTGAGGAGGTCAGCTTATGCTTAACCGGAAAGATGTGTTTTTTTTATGATCGTTTTCTTACTGACCATGACTGAGTCTACGGTTTCGTTGATGTTGTACAAATGATGAGTCTTCCTCTTGGTCAAGATTTTGCTTATTGATAGTTGAATCAAGCTCTTGAGGGTTGAAGTGAAAGTTATTCAGGGAGTTGGTGATGTTTGTGCCACCGATGTCATGGGTGTTGCTGCTTCCGCCATTAGTGTTGTTATTGTTGTTTCGATGAGACCAACTGTAGGTTCTAGTTGTTCTTCGAGGCTCGTGAGAGGTACCGTAGTACTGGTCGGCTGGGAGCAAGGTCGAGAATTGAGCAGAGTCGGGTTGATTGTTGGTCATCCTGTCGGTGTTTGTTTCTATTGATAAGGAAAGAAATAAATTTGTGTTCTGGTCAACAGAGGTGATGGTTTCTGGTCAAGAGGGTAGGCAGCTGTTGAAATATTCAGTTTGGACAGTATGAGCAGCTGATGATGTCATTATTAGTGACATCATAGCCTGTGACATCTCGGCAGCCCTCTCAGCTCACAGTCACACCTGCTGTCACGTGCCCCACTGGGCAGATTCAATCCATCCACTGATCAGATTCAGCACAAATCTCATCACATTTTAATCAGCAGATCTCAACTCTGGATGGTGAACAACCGGCTCAAGATGATCCAGGACAAGCCGTTTTATGTAGGTCCCAAGAGCTCAAGATTGATCAGCCCCTACCAAAAATCATCAACCTACCTACATAGAGAAGTTCGGAGTTCCCAAAATCAATCAAAAAGAAAAATCATGTATTTATGACAATGACATCAAGCCAGGTTTTGATTTGCTTTCTTTCTTGAAAGGATCATCCAACTTGGGCCACTGAAGATGTGTGTTTTTCATTTTTACATAGTAGAGTATTTATGAATGATATAAATTCCACTCTTGCTTTTGTGATTTTACAATTCAATCCTGGCAAATCAGTCATCAATTTCATTTTTTTGACCAGATGCTCCTGAGGGAGCCAAAGGTTCCTAGCAAGGTTTGAACACCATTTCATTGTTAGGAAAAACAGTCAACATTCAAAATATCTTCATTAGATTGAGTATCTGCCTCAGATGTACACACAGTTTTTGGTGCTGTAACATCTTAAACAAAACAGCCTAATGGATGTGCGCCTATTATTTCAGGAGTTGAGTGGGGGGACAGTACACATGCATAGGCTTACAAACAAACAAACAAACAAACATTCATGTATATGTAGTAGATCAAACAACAATCAGGAAAAGGAAGGGGATTTACAACCCAGAGAAGATCAATAAGACTAAGAAGAGAGAGGGAGGGTTAAAGGATGATGGTCACCAAGTTTGATTATGAATTTTAGACTTAGTCTCGTTGAAGAACTGGCGAATATCTTGTTCGGTGACCAACAAATCCTGCGATTCGAATGGCTTCAAGAACTCGAGAATGTGTTCCTTCAGCTTATTATAGGCATTCAAGCCGGTCACCAGTTGGTCTCTAGGGAGGTTCTTTAAGGCTTCTAGTCCTAACTCATGGATCGATTTCACTATGATCATCCACATGTTGAGAGTCGAAAGTTTTCATCGGTTTGGTGGTGTTTAAGAAGATGGAAAGAAGATTGGGATGTGTCAATATCAATTGTTGAGGAAAATTAATCAAGAAGGAAGGGGAGGTAAATGGAAATGCAAACAGGCTTCCACTTGAACAAGTAGTGAGATGAGAAAGACAGAGTGAAAGAGAACAACAACAAGCAAGCAAAGAAAAAAGAAGAAGGAATACTCAACATGAATCGGTATCTTCTCCAGGTTCCCAGACGTCTTCTTCCTCCTCGACCAGCCAACTCAGCTGACCCAAAACCTGCCGACAATTGGGACAAGGGCACCATCTGGTTCGCCACCCAGCGGCCAAGAAAACGTTGGAGAATCCGGGGTCGATCGTGGTTAAGATAGACTCGGCTGGGCTTTTGAACGGGGCTCGACATTCGATCATCGCTGGATCAGAGACATTGTCTAGTTTTGGTTTCTTTCCGCAAGCTGACTCCTGTTTGTTTGGATTGACACTGGATGACCGTTTTTTATTCGACATGGCTTTCTTTGGCTCCGCTGACGTCTGCTTTTCGTCCGCTCGATCTACTTCTTCGGTTGCCTTTGAAAGTCCTTTGCACTCCTCTTTTGTCGGTAGCACTTCTTGCGACTTTTTGGATTCATGATTGGTTGGAATGGGTGAATTGGAGCTGGCGCCCACGCAAGACATGACTTCCGAGTCCTCGTCTTTCTTCTGTCCAGTCTCTTCCATCTGAGTACTCTCTTCGACCGAATCCTTAACTGGTCTGGTTGATGCGTCCGTTTGATTTGAGGGTGGTTCTGGCTTGGCATCTGTGTTTGACTCCGGCAACTTTCCATAGCAAGTGATGCGATTAGATCCATCCGTGCCTGAGTCTTTACAGACTATCATTCCAGTGCCTTCTCCTCCGGCGTGTTTGAACATGATGGATTTGATCGTGGGGTTGTTTTGGACACAGTGTGCACATATCAAATCATCCCAATCATCTGGATCAGGATGTGGTCCTAAACAACTAGCATGTCTCCAACTACATACATCAAAAAAAAACAACTTATGATCAATTCACTGGATCTAGTCTGAGAAAGATCAAAAAAGGAGAACATCCTCACTCTTCACAGGCAAGACATTGGTACATATCCTCAGTTTCCGTCTCGGGGTCATAAGTTTTACCTCTCTCGCAAATGCAGAACTGGCCATCAAAGTTCTTATCATATCGATTTGAGGGGCCAGTAGCCGAAGTAGAAGGATTCGATTGGAGTGATTGATTGACTGAGTCGGAGGGCTGGTTGACCAAGTGACATCGGCCGGGGTTGCATCGATCTGTACCACAGTCGCAGGCGAAGTTTCTTCGGACAAATAGCTCGACCAGCTGATGGTCGGTATGACAGCTTACCGAGCACGAACTACAGACGCCTGCTCGGATATGGTCGCGTTCTGGTTTGATCGGATTACAGGTGAGACAAGAGTATACCGATTGTCGTATCTGTCCAGCTGGCTTCGAACATTTCGTGATGTCAAACGGGAGTACTTCTGCTGCTTGATCCTCCAATTCGTTCTGCTTTTCGATCACTTCTGATATCCTCACTGTTTCGTCCTGTGCCTGCCCTGATGGTGGTGGCTGAGAGGAGGAGGACATCGGATATTGTATTCTTTGTTGGTGGTTCGTTTGCCTTGGGAAATCAGCGAGTCCCACCACTTTCCCAACTGGCCCCCGGTCGAATATCCGCAACAAGCTCCAGGGAGATTGATCCGGACTGCGGAGCTTGTCGGACACCGTCTAAACCACTGGCACCGGCTTGTCCGATCGCCACCTCGCCCATGCCACCAGCAGTCCGACATCAAGAGAAGGGATGTACATACAGTGGGTTGACAGAAAACCCCAAATCCCCAAACATCCTTTTGTAGGGGTCAAAATCAATCTTTTTGAGATTTGTTTTTTGGGGGGATGGAACAATGGGGGATTGGGAAACTAATCACACCAGCCATTTTATTGAATTGGCAAAGAAAAAAAAAAGATACATCAAGAAGAAAATCCACATTTTTTCCAATTTTTTTAATAAGCTTTGGAAAAATAAGAGAAAAATACAAGTGGATGGTTAAGGAGCTAGGAAGAATGATGGAAAAATAAAAAAATAGAAAAAATAAAAAACAGACAGAATTTTTTACTTGTGGGCTCATTGAGAACGGCTTTGGATTGCTAGATAAGTTGAAATTCAAATGCACTTGTTGATGCAACTGAGAGTCTGAGTTGTACTTGGCTAGTACAATGGAACTGAGGTTGATTTGGGTCTTCATTGAAGTGAATGTTGAGGTGAGGTTGGAGAGAAAGTCAATGGTCAACAGAAGATAGAGATGGTCGCTATGCATCCAGATATCCACGCGGATGTGGATATCCGCTTGTGATCTCAGCCAAATCAGACATACGCATCCGCTGGCGGATACAAACCCAAATCTGTATTGGGGATAGCGGGTATCTGCAACGGATACCCTTTGACCATCTCTAACAGAAGACCATCAACAATCAGTTGGTGTACTCAGGTATCACAGGGGGTGACACCTGCCAATTCCAAACTAAGGCATGGTCCCGGGGTTCGGGACAGAGTCTGAGGCCAGTCCCGAGGAACAAACCCCGGGGTTCAGGGCTTGAACCCCGGAACCCCGGGGTCTTGATTTTTTTTTCAGGTGCGGTGTTGATCCACTTTGACCGGTCAACCAGCCAAGGAAAAGCTCTTCTTGGCTGATTGACGAAGTCTGTACCCTCTCCAGCTGGTTACAGACTCACTTATTGGCCGAAGAGGATCCTCCAGAATCCATCTTGGTTGGTAAGTGAGTCTGCACCAGCAAGCCAAGAACTTACAAGTGCCTCTCCCTGGCTGTTTGGTACAGGCCGTACCAACCAGCCAGGGAGGAAAGCACTGTTGCCGGTTGGCTGTACCAACCAGCCAAGATGAATAAAGCACCTCCTTGGCTGGTCAGTAGCTGAGCAACTCCCCAGACCTAGCCGACTCCCAAAGAATACAAAGGGAAAAAACGGGCTGGAGGGCCCGGTCGGCCATAGAACAGGGAAATGAATGACTCCCAACTCCAACGACCCTCTGCAGACGGTCCTTGGGACCTGTCAGCTAGAAGAAGCGATCCATTTTTTAAGCCGCTTAAATGGTTTCCCTATGATATATCAAAACCCCGGGGTTCTGGGGTTTTGCATAGTGCCATCCGGAGTCCTGAACCCCGGGGTTTGGATTTGGGCAAAACCCTGAACCCCGTGGTTTGGGGTCATGCCTTATTCCAAACCCTTGCTTGGGTTTTGGATTTTTCTGTCAAGGCACTGTACACTGACACATCACTTTCTCATGCTGGATCTCCTCCCTGGCCAGGCCTTCATGCAGTATCTCATACACCCTAAATTTGTAAAAAGAAATCCACCTGATTAGTGATAGCTTGGATTCTTGATTCAAATTGAAATTGATCTACTTGGATTGTGAAAATTGCAGAATGATGTATCAAACCTTCATGTGTCCCTCAGTTGACTTTTTTTAAGTGCAATCTGACAAATCGGGGGTTTCTTTAGAAAAAAAATCGGAAATTCTGTAAGATGTGGGGTTACAACAAATCTAGGAAGTGATAAAACTTGAATCATGTAAAACATTTTCACAGCTTATGTATGTAGTTTGCTTGGTTCATATCCAGTTTCATTTGTTGATTTGAAAAATATATAGTTTCCTCAAATAAATAGCTGAAACATCAGTTGCACCATGATGACTGAAGGTTCTGAGCCACTCTACTTGAACTACAGAAGTTGAATAATGAAATGGATCCATTCAGTTTAAAGTGATGTTCAAGCATGTTTTTTGAGCTGGAAATACAATTTTATTCCTACATCATGTTTGAATAATTACAGGTTTGGAAGTAATGTTTTGGAACCACATATTGCATAATTATGGAGTTGAGTATCAACAGGTGATTTATGTTCTTCAAGAAAAGACTGGTTAGTCAAAACATTTGTTTGGTTTTGTGTACAATTTTTCACAAGAAATCTGACACTCATTCAATTCTACATATTGGTCCCTTGCAAGATGATCACACAACCAAGTTCTTGACTTCTTCCAATCATTCAAAAAAAAAATTAATTTGACAGATGAATCTTTTAAAATACACTACAGCCCTTATAATTCTATTTCATTCTTGTTGTTTTGGTGGATTTATGAAGGATCCAAGTGTTCAGGATATTGGTGAGTATACCTCTAGATTTTGAAATATGTCATTGAATGCATAATTTGATCAAGGGAGACTCTTTTTCTTCAACTGATGAAAATTCATGTCTGATTCTTCTGAATTCATCCCAGTCAATGGCTTTTATGCAAAAGTTGCACTTTACATACCACCTGAAAAGCAGTGGCATGTGCCACATGGTTTACCAATGGAACAACATATAAAAAGAATAACAAGGCAGTTTAAGGCATCTGGGACACATGGCAAGCCTTTCATACATTTGAATCTTCATTGGAAGGTGAAATTCTGATTGACTTGAGAAATGATATATAGGCCACCAAATATTAGAATGTGTCCTAAGTCTGCCCAATTTTCTCATCTTCATTTCCCCTGGATTGAAACATTTCTGAATGAGAATTAAACCTGATTCAAAAAATTATTTTTTGTTCTAGGTATTAGTATGGAAGAAATAAGACTTGGGGGAAAACTGGAATGGAAAGGGCTATGGGAAAAATACATGTTACCTAGCAGCTCATCCAAAATGACATGGAGAAAAAAATTTCCCTTAGACTCACATCATCAGCTTCTCAATAGTTTATATGTATGGTGTGAGAAGAATGAAGACTCTATGATAATGCGTGGGGGATACCTTCCAATGGAAAACATCAAAGTACTGAGCAACCTAGAGCTTAACAAGGAAACAGTGGAGGTTGCAATAAATTTTCACACTTTATCTATGGTTTGGAAATCTTACAATTTTATATGGACTATGGGTATGTTTTTTTCCAAATTAATTTGATTGCTTACCAAAATCAAGGTGACTGAATGGAGGTTTCTTTAAAAAAAATTACCCCTGTTTTTTTAAAAAAAGTTACTCAAATGGCCATATATCAAACCTCCACACAATTTCCAAAGCTGACTCCAAGTGAAATTAATGAAACATTACAGCATGCATTGGACGAAAAGTTATTCATAAAAATGGTCAAAGCATTTTGTGAGGGCTTTGATCCAAAGAAGAACAAATTCAGTCAAGAAAAAGAGTTCTATCATTTCATCAGGAAAGTATTTCCTAAACCTTATGAGGTAAGAAGGTATGGTTTTCCTGTCTTGGAATGTTGGGTTAAGGCTTGTAAACGAGAGCACAGTGTGGTCCTTGAGTGTGCGTATATGTCTTTGTTGTTTTTTATCCTAAATCTGACATTGTTTTTTCCCCTCAGTCCTTTCAGTCTGTCTAGAAGTGGGAAAGACCATGGCTTCCCAGGACTATTTATTTTGGAAGAAACTACGGAGAGTTGCTTACAAAGAAAATCTTGAGCCTTTGCTGGTTGCTTATCAAGAGCTATGCCAATTCTTCAGGAATGGGTTCCCCTTTGATCAATTATTTGAATATCATCGGCTAGTATCAAAGATTAGTCAAGAAATAAAGAAATACGGTGATGAAGAAACCAAAAAGGCACTCCAAGTTTGCATCAATGGTCTTGCCATACAATCACAAGAGTCCAAATCCATAGAGAATCCAAAATCCATCAAAAAATATGAAGGTATGAATGCCAAGGATATAGCGACAAGAGTCCTAAGAGATAGCATCAATTCTGTGATGAATTATGCAGAAGAGCTCCATAATAACAGATCTTTGGGACTTTCAGGTGAAATACATACCAATTTCAGGGCTACAAAAGGACAAACCAATGAGATAGGTGAGCTACAGAAAATCCCTCTCCGTATGATCCTATCATTTCTTGATTTGAAATTTTTTTGAAATTGTGGCAATGATCAATCACAGCATTTCTTCTCTGTGATGTCATGTCACTTGACTACATAATCACAGCAGAGCAAGTGGCATTTCACATTGGGTTTGAAGTTTCTCGCACAAATTTGCCAGTGGTCATCAAACAAAAGACATGTCACTTTGCCAAGTTTCTACAGGACGGACTGGAAGAAGTAATCAATTTCCGATACTTATCAAATGGACCAACAAAATCAAGAAGTACTTTCAGAGAATGGGATACTGAACTATGTGAAGCATTGCGGCAAGTACAAGTGACAAAAGCTGTGGATACTGATGAGATAAGGAAGGAAATTAAGGTTGCAAATTTGGCTTTTGACCTCTTGCAAGACAGTTCTTTCAAAGATGAAGACCAGCAAATTGTAAAAAACCAATACAACTCATCAGTGAAGGAAAAACTTGCTTCATTCCAGCTTAAGAACCGCCCCACAAAAATCATTCCACTCCATCATATTCCATCAATCTGGAAAGCTGTGAAAAACACAACTGAAAGAGAATTTGCAACTATGTATGCAGGAAATGCTGAAATATTAATCAGATGTTTGAGGTTTACCCAGAGAGTTGTTAAAAATTTGGCTGTGTTTGATAAAATTTGTAAGTACAGCTGAATATTATGAAAAGAGAAAGTGAATGCTTACTTCCAATTTCTTGAATTGTTTATTTTATCTAAATGTTGAAAGATTATGCCATGAAAGTCTCAAAAATCTCTGAAAGAAGCCTTCTTGTGGAAGAGGTCAAAAACAAGTTTGAAAAGTCCAAAAGGTTTGAGTTAATGTCAAGCAAGGAGATCAAGAAATTGGAGAATTTATTGAACTTAATTGGTAACAACTCAGATAACATTGACTACCATGGGTGGAAGAAAAGGATTTTCCAAAGAATGTCTTATTTACCAACTGAGTTGGTCATCATCTTGGGGGATATGTTTGATGATTGTTTCAGGACTGCAATATTGGAAAGGGAAGATGACTCAACCGGATTGAAGACACTTCTGTTGAATCTGAAAAATTCAGAATTCTGTGATATATTGAGAAAAGACTTGCTTTCAGATGAATTAAAAAAAGAGGTTGATGGACTGTGGGAGCACTCAGCTGATAAGTACATCAGAAAGAAACAGGAAGAATTCATAATATCAATTTTATCAAATGAATCAAATGACAAAAGATGGTTACTCAGATGATTTCAAAATTTTGTTGGGGTGATATTGGAAAATATCACCTAGATTATATACCCTTTTTTATAAATGATTTCTTTTGTAGATTCATAATGCCAGCTGTTCATTTTTTGTTTTAATTTGTTTTCAAGTAATACTTGGCAAACAAATCTGGAAGAAATATGGTCAAGACTCAATGCCCCTCAGTTTACTAGTCTTGAAACTCAGCCATCTGAGGATTTCTGAGTTGATCTTGAGTTGAATTAACAGGGTCAAACTCCCAACTTCTTAAGGAATATTGAGGGGATCCCAGAATTTAGGACCAGTGGGAAACCTTCTGGTGTCCCTGCTTGACCCAACCCAAGGATTGGGTACAATAGGTCAGGGAAAAATGGAAATAGGTGGCCTGCCCTAACTGTGTTTGATGGGATTTGTAAGTCATGCTGGAAAAACTATTTTAAAGAGAAGGCAAATGGTAGTTCAACATTTCTTGGTTGGTTTTCATTTTCCTAAATGTTTCTAAAAGATTATGGTATGAAAGTGGCCACAATTTATGAAAGAAACTTTCTTATAAAGGCAGTAGATATGTTTCATGATGGTATGAGGACTGCTATGTTGGAATGGGAAGATGCCTCAACCGGATTCACGACAATCCATTTGAGTGTGAAAAATTCAGAATTTCATAAAGAAATAAGACATATATGACCTCCTTTCAAAATTTAGATGAGTTGAAATTAGAGGTTGATAGGTTTTGCGAGAATTTGAGTGAAAAATAGGTCAAAATAGGCCCAGAAGAACACATCAAATTAAGAAATCATATTGAAAACATCAACTGACAACAGATGGTTACTAAGATGAGGAAAAGAGCAAAAATGGCCCATCAAGGATCATGATAGCTTCAAATCCAATTGTACATTTTTATTTTCCTCTAGTTCTTTTCTGCTTGAGTTTTGTCTCTTGTTTTTGTGTATTCCTTCAATTCATAATTAGAGATGAGAAAAATTACTTCATCTTGAAAAAAAAAACCGCCCAAGAGGCAATGTTATCTGCACAGGGTTCAGTCTATAGTCTTGATCACTAAATGTTCCTCAGGGATGTGGCCCAGTGATCTTGAGGTTTGGTCTCGCCCTTGAACTTTGAATGAGATCATCGATCTGTTGTCTGCTTAGTAGTCGATTCGTTTCTTCTTATGGATTCTCCTTCGAAGCAAGGGCCAGTCCAGATTGTGTGTGTATGATTATCCAGGGTATGATGTTATTTAGACAAGTTTTCCCGTTAGCACTGGATGAACCGGTTAGGAAGGTCGGCATTGACTGCAGTCTCCATTGATACATTTGTAGTGAGCCATCGATCAACTCCAGAACGCCGGACGGAGAAGGTATTTCTACGCTCCAAACTGTATGTATGGCTCTTTGGTTTAACGGTGCATTTTCTTCTGTGGCGAATCGATTGGTGGGATGTCGGATGTCGGATATTGTGTAGATTTTGAATGGAGGAAGAGTGCAGATGTATGCACGCTTAAACTCAGCGCTGCTTGGCCAACGGTCGGAATCCTCCGATTGCAGTGGCAGACTAGCAGACTTGATTATGTACAGTATCACTCCGGAGTCCGACAGTTCCAGAATGCTCAAGACACCCTCCCTCGCTCTTTCTTCCTCCTCCAACTGCCTCCGAACCCCCAACAACCACCCATCCATCGAGCCGACGCAGTCTTAACTAACTCAGATTCAGCTCAGACATGTCCTCCACCACACCCGCCCATCGCGCAATCTGGGCCCGCCGGCTATCTGCCTCGGCTTGTCTGTCCCTGACCGAGCCGGACTTCGCCGTCTATCTCGACTCGATCGCCTGTGTGGGCGGTCTGAGATCAGAATTCAGACTGCCAAGGAAGGAGCCCAGATCGAGCTCCCAACGAGGTAAATATGTCATCCCCCATCGACAGAGAATCATCTCGGATTTACATGACTCTGTGGAAAGAAACACTTTGCTGACTCAAGCTTCGAGGGTTCATTTCAGATGCCGATAATACCGACTCAGTCGAGCAGATCGGCCATCTAGACGACGAGCAGAATGAGGAGGACGAATCGAACGCTTGTGTGTATCTGTGCGGGAATTCCTTAGGGTTACAGAACAGGAGGACAGCCGAGATGGTCTTGGCCGAATTGGATGTTTGGGCAGATCAGTCAGCCAACTCTGTCTATCTCTTCCTCATACCCGTTTCTGATCCATTTTCTTCTCTTCTGCTTTATCTCCATAGAGCTGTCCAGGGTCATTTTGTGCATTCGGAAGGAAGGAATTGGAAAAATATCACGGATCTCGTCGATCCAATCTTGGCTCGCTTAGTAGGTAAGCCACCACAGAATTGCCACAGAATTGCGTGTTTCTATCTTTTTGCTGACGGCTGCCGCACGGAAATTTTGCTTGTTCTTTGGGATGATCAGGAGCCTCTACACCTGCTGAAGTGGCATGCACCGGATCATTGACCACCAACTTGCACATCCTGATGACCACGTTTTACCGGCCGACGAAGGAGCGATTCAAGATCCTCTGCGAAGCCAACTGCTTCCCTTCTGACCTTGTGTGTTCCTCAGTAACCCCACCAAAAAAAACAAGAAGAAAAGAGCCTCTCCCTTTTAAATAACTGAAGTCTCGATCGACATTTTTTTCTTTTGATTTTGTCCTGTGCTGTGGGAAAAAAAGTATGCATTTACAAGTCAAATTGAGATGCATGGGTTGGAGCCAAAAGACGCTCTGATCTCGCTCTCGCCTCGGCCTGGGGAATTCACGCTTCGATCGGAGGATATCGTCTCGACCATCACTCGTCAGTAGCCCGTGGCTCAGCGATTTTGAGTGTGTTTCCTTATTGACGATCAGTTACCCTGGCTGGATTTTATGTTTCCCTGGAATGAATGGACGGATACGATCCACAGGAGAGGGCGCATCGATAGCGCTGATTTTGTTCTCAGGGGTTCAGTTCTACACGGGCCAAGCCTTCCCAATCAAGCAGATCACCGCGGCCGGACACCAGCAGGGGTGCATAGTCGGATGGGACCTGGCCCATGCCATCGGTAACGTCTTGCTCGAGCTGCACGATTGGCAGGTCGACTTCGCCGCATGGTGTAGTTACAAATATCTCAACGGCGGTCCAGGTGCCATTGCTGGATTATTTGTGCACGAGAAATGGACTTCCGATCCGACTAAATTAGGCGGTCCTCACGGTCGGCCCCGGTAAGCACATCTTTCTCTTTTTTTTTACCAGACTCATCCCTTCTTTCTCCAATAGCAAGCAAAGAAAATTTGCAATCCGAAAAAAGCAGTGACTGAGATTTTGCCTGATGATCCGTTTTCAGCTTGGCTGGTTGGTTCGGACACAATCCGGGCAATCGATTCCAGATGCCCAACAAGTTCGAGCCGGTCCGAGGGGCGGGACAATTTGTGCATTCGAACCCTGACGTCCTATCGGTGATATCGCTGTACTCATCGCTCCAACTATTTGCGAGTTACCCGGGAGGGATGAGTGGTTTACGGGCGCGTTCGGAAGAGCTGACGGGGTACCTAGAGATGTGTTTACAAGGCCTTTCGAGCTACGTCGATCCACGATATGCGGCGGATTATCCGGAGAGTCTGAACGAGCCACAGCGCTCACGAGCCCGGGCCGTCGGCTTCACGATCATCACCCCGTCGGTCCCCGCCCAGAGAGGCTCCCAACTCTCGCTGCTCTTCGTCCCCTTGGGAAATCGCTTCATGAATAAGGTCGCCTCGCAACTGCTCGAACTCGGCATCGTCGGCGACGAACGCGAACCGGACGTCCTTCGCTTATCTCCTGTCGCGTTGTATACCTCCTTTGAAGATTGTCGCAAGGCGGTCGAGGCCTTGAACTCTATCCTCGAATCTTTAAACTCTTCTCCCTCTCCATCATCTTGACCTGGAGTCGTAATCTCTTCTCATCTCTCTCATCATCATGCATCAACCTCTCTCTCTCTCTCTCTCTCTCTCTCTTGGCTTGTTTTTTTTTTTTTTTGGAAATCTTGCGGAACCTTGAATTCCTCCCCTTTATTTATTTATTTATATGAAACTTCCACACAGCCTTTTTTTTTGATGGTTGGTTATTCACTCAAAGTGAGGAGACCCTATCTTGTATATACATACCTTTGTATCCCCTCTTTTGATTGATTTATTAATTAATTTATTTGATCTTGACAAGACAACATCAAACAGGAAAGATACATATAGATGGGACATAGATCCAAGGTTTTTGTATATCTGATATTTGATCATCATAATTCAATCGCTGCATTCCTGATTGAAATCTCTTAAAACCCTGGCCAGTGATTATCAATGGCCACTTGTGATCTATGATAGAGAGGGAACGCCCTAGCCATCCTCCCTGTCTGATGCGATAGCAATACATTATGCCTTTTCCAAAACGGTGACAAAGCATGTTTGGGGCAAACTAGACATCATCATCTGGGGGGTGGGGATCACTCATGCAAAAAACAGACACAAGAACCTGGGTGACTTGTGACAACTAGCTGCCCAATGGAAAAAGTGGAATGAATTGTTTTGCAATTATGGTGTTCAAAATTACCTAAGTGAGTTTTACTTATCTGCATAATGTGATATTTTGGCTACTATGTAATTAAAACTCAAATTGACAGGTCCCAGCCAAAATTGCAGATCATGCAGCTGGGATTATGCCAATAAGTAAAAAGATATTTAGGTGATTTTGAACACCATAAATCTAAGATGAAATCTGGGGAAAAAGTATAATGAGACATCCATAATATATGTTGGGGCCTAAAGTTTCCAAATGCTTGCTTCACAACTTGCCTGAAGGGGGTGGGAAGTTCTTGTTCTGATAGAAAGCAGGTCATTGAAGCTAAATTACTTATTCAATGGTCTTGATTTGGGTGATGAAGTTAAGACCTAGATTTTGAAAGAAATGTTTAGGAAGTTATTTACACAGTAAGAAGTCCTCCACTATGTGAGAGGGGATAAATTTTCTTTCATTTCTGATACATTTGACTTGGTCAAGATTCTGAAGCTGAGACAAGTGATGTGTTTACTTTGTACTGCCTTCAAAGCATGTTAGTGTGACTACTATCTTATCTCATGTAATCAATCTCTCAACACTCAAACTAATGGTTTCTTTCTGAGAAAATACAAGCCTAGATACAGCAATGGACACATTTTTAAAACTAGTTATTGATGAGTAACTGTGATGGTTTCATAAAACATGTGTGAGTTTTTCACATAGAGTGGATATGCTGCACTTCAGGTCAAAGTCAAAAAGAATATGCATCATTCAATTGTATTAACCACTTTTGGAAGATATATGTGACCCTTAGACTAGTTCACTTTTCCTTGATCATCATAAATTTGAGTTCAACTTTTACCAATGATAGCCTTAAAATATGCTTTGGCAGCCATTCAAATGTTCCCTCTTGGATGCTTCAGTGGCTTCATGAAGGATCCAAGTGTTGATGAAATTAGTGAGTTGCCTTACTTGGTTGATCAAATCCTGGTTCAATTCTGGGAATCTACCACTAAATTCCACACATTTTTTTTTACTGATGAACTTCTTATCCTGATCATTTTGATTCAAACTCAGTCAATGGAGTTTACAAGAAAATCTCACTGGGTCAACCACATGCAAAAAAATGGCATGTGCCACCTGGTCTTCCAATGAATAAGCACATCAAAAGAATCACAAAGGAATTCAAGAGACCTGATGGCAAGTAATTTTGAATATTTGAATCCTTTTCCAAGATATACATTTCTGACTACATAATGGGGGAATGATAGGTCAACAAAAGATGAATTCACTAATAGGTCTGGCTACTTTCTTAAGCTTTCTTGGGCCTTGAAAAGGTCACCAAAGTGAATTTATCCTGATTTGAAAGATTCAATTTGACTCTGATGAGGCAGACCGTAGTATGCATGCTCTGCAAGATTTTGGAAGATTGGACTGGGACGAGTTATGGAACAGATTTATGCTAAGTGGTAGCTTGTCTGAGCAAAAGCTGCTGCAAGTTCAACAAGGGCCCTTAGATCCACACCATCCATTGCTAGATAGACTTTACAACCAATGTGTGAGTATAGAATCATATAAATTCAATAAGGAAGATCCCATCCGTGTAGAAGTAGTGAGGAAACAGTGAAGATTGCAATCAACTTCCACACTCTCTCCATGGTTTGGAAGCGGTATGCATTTTTGTATACAATGGGTGTGTGATCAAATTTGGCATTTCCTTAATTTGATCTGATCTGCTTAATTTTGTTTTGATCAATTTGACCCTATTCACAGTTACTCAGCTGGCTATATACCATCATTCCCCAAGATTTCCAACACTTTTGCCAGCTGAGATAAGAAAATCATTCAAAAATGACGAAGACATCGTCAAGATGGTCACGAAATTCTGGACAAGTGTTCATCTAAAAGGAGACAAGTTTTCACAGGAAGAAGATTTCTATGAGGCAATAGAAAAAATAGTCCCAGAACCTTATAAAATTCAAATAGAGCTGTTTCCAGTTTACAGCCGTTGGATGGACGGTTGTGAACGGGAATATCACATGATTAACGAGTGTGCGTCTTTCTCTCTTCTCGCCAAACCTCGCGCTCTGACATTTCTCTGGCCTCTCAGTGCTCATCGTCTGTCAACAAACAGGACCCATCATGACTGCACATGGCTATGAGTTTTGGGACCAGCTTGAAAAATTCTCTTCTGAATATGACCTCAAACCTTTTCTTGAGTCTTACAAAGAGCTTTGTGAATTCTTCGCAAAAGGTTTCCCTTTTGATCAATTGTTTGAATTTTATAGGCTAGTTTCCAGAATTGGTCAGAACATTAAACAACTTGACAACCCCCACTCTCGAATTGGTTGTAGAAAACAAGGGGGAGATACAAATTCTATGGAGAAAGTCAAATCCATAAAGCCCTGCATAAACCTGAATTCCAAGGAAATTGTAAGACGTGACTCCAGAGACAAGGTCAACTTGATGATGAATTACGCTGAGGAGATTTCCCAAAAAATGAGATCAGGAGTTGTGAGCAAATTCCTTCCAATTCTCCGCGCAAGAAAAGAGCAGTTAGAAGAAATAGGTGAGCGCATAACTGATGTTCTACAGAGAACATTTTTCTGATTGCCATCTGCTTTCACTCCATGGGATGATTTTATGACCATTCTTGATTCAAGCATTTCTACTCTGCGATGCCATGTCACTCGACTACCTTGTCACACATCATGAGGCGACCCTTCAGATCGTTTTTGAATCTTATAGAACGGATTTGCCACTGATCATCAAACAGAAGACATGCCAATTGTCCAATTTCATGCAGGAGGAATTGGAACAAAAACTGTTTCCACATCTTCCAAGAAAGCCAAAAAATGGACGACGGATCCACCGCGAATGGAATCTTGAGCTGGGGAAAGCGCTGGAACATGTGAAATTATCCAACAAGAATGTTATGAGCCATGAGTGTCTCACAAACACCCTTCGGTCCTACAGGGAGGGACATGACTTCTTGGATGACCAGACCTTGGACGAACCCACCCGGCAAAACGGGATCAATGATTATAGCAAATGGGTAAAGTCTATACTTGGTATATTTCGGCTGCATACTGGATCACTGGGAATCATTCCGCTCCAGAATACTCCAGTGGTATGGAAAGCTATGAAAAAGGCGACTGAAAGAGAATTCGCAACTATTTCGATGGGAAATGCTAAGGTCCTAGTAGCATGTCTGAGACGTGCTCAGAGAGCTATCCGAAATGTGCTAGTACTTGACAGAATTTGTCAGTGATAATTCATGAAAGTGTGAATAATATGTGAAAGGATAAACCTCGTGTTGATTGTTTTGTTTTTCTGTCATAATTCCACATCAAAAGATTATGCAATGAGACTGGTCAGGCAATCTAAAAGAAAGCAGTTTTTGAAGGATGTCAAAGCCAGGTTTGAAAGCTCCCAACAGACCAACAAAATGACAAAGATTGAGGCGGAGATATTAGAGAGACTATATACATTGATTGGTAACAACTCAGAGAAAAGTGATTATGATTTTTGGAAGCAAAGCATTCTTTCAATAATGTCGTATTTACCAACATACATGGTCAACACTTTGGGAGATATGTTTTCAGATTGCTCCAGGGATTTCCTATCAGCAGGGAAAAAGTATGATGAAGAGCTATTGCAAGAAGGTAGCTTGATAGAATCCAAGCTGGTCTTCAAAGAGATCAGACAAGACTGGCTTTCTGAGAAGGCCAAAGAAGAAATAAAGTGGATTCTGGAAAGCTATACTGATGAACATATCCAATCCCTTCAACATAAATTCATGGATAAAAAGGAACTTTATGGCATTCCACTCATCACACCTAAATGATTTTTGATTGCTAGGCAAATTAAGTACCAAAAAAATTGTGTCTTGGTTTGGAGGTTAAGAAGATTTTAAATTTGCAATTCAAAATTATTGTGAAATCACACTGCGACTGGAGGACTTCCCGTCAACATCTGCGGGTCTCCCAGAGTCAGTTTAGAGCCGCAAAATTCAAATTTCTCTGCGAGAATTAAGAGTTTTCGGGTCTAGATTGACTTCTGGGAGGGTCCCAGATCCGACGGGAAGTCCTCCACTTCCCATAACTTTAAGTCAAAACTATAATTTGTTTGTTTTCAAATTTTTATTGATCAGGAGTGTTTGAGTGTTTGTGCTTCAAATTGCTCAATCCAAGTTATCCACATATTTCTCATTTTTTCAAATCCCAAGAGATGATGTCTAGCAAACTTCTGGTGAACCGTTTTTGGCCATTCTGAATTTGTGCTGCTTTTTATTTTTGAATTTCATCATTGTGACCATTCTCATTTACAATTGCCCATCGATGTATCCATGTAACGTGATCAACCAAAACATCCAAAGGTTCATTGAAGACCCTTAATACACCATCAGAAAAGCGGAACTCTGCAGATCCAGTGGAGAGAGGTGAAAAGGGGCTTGTCTTGAATTTTAGGTCACAGAGTAAACCAGTCTGCTGCGGGACCGGTTCTCAGTTAGCGCCACCCCGGTCCAAGCCTCCGGTCCCCGGCCAATCCACTCCACGCGTTGCTGGGGTTGGACAGCAAAAAAAGAAGCAACCGACTTCCTTCAGTAGCAAACCTATCTTGGCAGTAAATTCAAGACACACATCATAGAAAATCAAGACAAGAAACGAAGAAGAAATCTCCCCGAACCGAAGGGCATCCTGACTTGATCAGCATCACAAAGAACGGGGAACAACGCGCAGGATGGACCAATCGATATTTTCGCTGTTTACCACCAAAGACTGGCCATTTCAATCGGCAAGGAGGGCTTCAGATGTCAATGAAACAGACAGACATGCCCAGAAACAGAAATCGAGGAACAGAGGTGAAGAAGACTTACTGGCGAGTAAGAGGCTTCGATCACGCGAAGAAACGATCGATGGGATGTTGTTCTTCGATCGGCTGATGAAACTAGGCTCTATCCCTAACTTCAAGGAGCTCTTCCCACCACCCCATCCATCTCGTCTCCGCCAGCTATTAGACTCCATCGATGCCTGTGCATTCGACCTACTGAGTCAGTCAGATCTTCTTCTTCTTTATCGCTTTTCGTTGGGATGACTCACATGAATTCTACTTTTACAGAAAAGAATTGCTTGGTGTACTACCTCCTGAAAGAATATGGCGATGGTCGAGAAAATCGCTTTGCAATCGATCGATTGATCCCATCTCATTTTAGTCGTGGACTCGATGGTCTATGGGCACTCGATCACTCCCAATGGCAGGTCCGTTGCTTCTTGATATTATAGGATCTGATCTCAAAATAAGTTCTCATGACTGACAGATTTATCCTATCTATCTACTCAGTCTGCCATCCGATCCATGTCTGATCCGACTGTCACGCCAGATTTCTTACCAGAAATCATCCGGACTCTTGCTACCCAACCCCCTCTATACCTTAGATCGGACTATGTCATGCGGTTTTATCAGCTTACCCAACCTTCACTCGATCTTCCATCAATCGAATTCGTATTACGAGCCATGTGCATCAATTCTAACCTTCGATCTGCCTGGGCTCTTCAACGCTCCTATGGCCGACCGGAGCGGGATCGGCTGTTAAGGATCCTATTCGAAACGTGCTTTGGTCTCAATGACCATCGTCAACCACTAGCAGAAACCCTGCAAATTATGGTTGCCTTTCCATTCGACGAGCTTGAAGACACCACTTTATCTCGATTTGCCATCGGCGCACCTCAGTTGTTGCCCGGGCCGCATTCAATGGTCGTGATTCAATTTTACCTGAGCAAACTCACTTCCGAGGCTCGTTACATTGAAGCTATCAGATTTGAACGCGAGTTGTTGGAATCAGCTGGCATCGTCTCTAATCCTGAAATCGATCGCGTCATCCGAGGCATTGCTGAGATGCTACCGGAGGTTCAACGAAACATGCTGGAGCTCGAATTCGATCAACAGCATCCAATCCTAAACCAAGCCCAAACATCCAACGGGATGGCGGAAGACCCTTCAAACGATATGGACCTCAGCGCCAGTTACGATGTATGCTCACTTGCTTGGGATCCCCCTGCTTCACCACCAACATTACCACCTCCCAGTTCGTTGGCCGAAGCACGCACCCAACAGGAACTACTCAACCCACCTAAAACAACTGTTTCCCGGACTTCGCTGCCTCTATCAGCCTCGCCATTTTTAAGGCGCGCGATGCCAAGGATGTCACTTGACAAGTCGAATGTACCACAAAAGGTACTTCTCAAAGCACTCGCCTACACCCGTCAACCCACAGCACCCAACTCACCGGATCCCCTGCAAGAGCCAGCTCTGCCCGATCAAGTTGGTGACCAAGGTGACTCCGATATGCCACCCACCCCGGCGCCTTCCCGCACCACTCCTCGCTTCACACATTTTGTCGGTCCATCTCGATTGCCAGCCAGTGCAACTAAGCCACCACCCCCACCACCAAACTTCTCGACATCCTTCGCCCGTTCAAGCGTCGCGGCCACGGGCAGTCCATTCCATAGACTAAGCTTTCCAGAGGTAGAAAAGCCCTCGCCAGCGGTAGCTGAAGAACGATGGCCAACTCGAATAGCATTCACTCCCCGTCGACCGTCCCATAAAAGAGTGGAGGAACGGGCGCCCAAACAGGGGATCCCGACGCAGAACATTCGAGAAGTACGGAACACCGCTAGCAGTGAAAGTAGTGAGGAGCCCATTGCCAGCCGGCCACCGACGAGTGTACCAAAGCAACAATTTGCGGCTGTCGTGGTTCCCCGAGACAACAGACGAGAACTCAAGTCGCCCCCGAAGAAAATGGCCAGGGTGAGTAAGAACTCGACCCGTCGGGCACCACAGATGGACCGGGTTCTCCCAGGCGGATTGAACCTCGATGATGAAGAGATGGACGAGCTTCCGGAGACCAGTCAGCTGGAGCAATCCTCGATTGAAACCAGTAAACCACCGTCACGTAGAAACGAAGCTCACCCCAAAGAAAACTTCCAACCATCTCATCGATCCACCACCACCACCACCACCACCCGAAAAAAAGCCAAGGTAGATGATCATAACAGCCACAGTAATGCGCATTTGCAAGGCTCTACCGTCGTCCCACCCGTCACGCCGCGTCGATCAACTAGGCTACATTCCACCACACCGGCTAAGAAGTGGGTCCTTCCCGGCGGCATGATCGATCATGATTCGATCGAGGAAGACGACGATGAACATGTCCCTCATCGTCATCATCAAGAACCACTCCAAAGCTCTCAAGGCTCTAGAAAAACCCCTGGTAAATCTAAAAGTAGGAAGAAAGTGGTCTCTAATAAATGATTCTGTCCTTCCTTCCTCTTCTTCTTTTGTTTGTTTGCTTATATATGTAACTTATATATACATAACTTATATATACACAGCTTATACATGCATAACATACTTACATACTTTAGTTATCTTCAAAAAAAAACATCAGTCAATCATTGGTTTATTGAGTTCCTGTTCTTGTCTTGACTAAACTAAACTAAAATCAAAAAAACCTCAATTGATTCACCATCACCACTACAACCAACCAATCAAAAAAAAAAAACAGATATCATGTTTTCTTTGTTTTGTTTATCCTTATTCCCAAAGAAAAACAAATTAAAGAATAAAATTCAGTCAACTGGGATTTTTTTTTTTCATATTTTTGAGCAATCAGACAGTAGCATTGCATACAAATATGTAGAATACAAATCTGTCCTAGAGTAGCATAGGTGTAGGTGCATCCCAGTCATCAGTCAATCTAATCTGTTTTCATTTTGAATTTCTCAATTCCTCCATATGAATTTAATTAGTTACAGTATTTTGGGTGTTGTGTCTTGTGAGAAAGGTATATTGATTATCATAAAAAGACTTTTTTTCCCTTAATCAATGTCATCAGTTTGGAGAGTTCTTCCAAACCTTCTTAAGTGCATCCCATTTTGAGTGATGTGGTTTTGAAACTCCTTCACACCAATCCACAATACAACGTGTAAATGTGCCAAAGGTAGACCATGTTCCATTTATCACTAAGCCAAAGTATGATGTTGTTAGACAAGTCAAAGTATGTAAGTGATCTTAAGGTTTTTTTTTTCTTTTTTTTTTTAGCTAAGCTGCTACACAATCATGTTCCAATAATGCTAAGAATTTGCTTAGCTACCACCTTACAAAATAACCCTAACCAATCTTCCATCTGATGTAACAATGAGAATGGAATTCAACCAGACAGTAGATCGTCATGGTGGAGGGTCCCCAGTCTCAATCGATTTAGGATTTCTTCTTCGCAAGTTCTCTCGTACCTTTCTGAACAAAAGAAAACAAGCAGCAGACTAATGTTGTAAATTCTCTTTGGCTCCCACTGAAAGTACATTGAAAGCGGTGAAAAAAAAAGTACAGGGGTTTTTTTGACGGGCTGTACATGAGCAAGAAAGGAAAGACCAAAAAGAAGGGAAGGAGGAGGAAGGAAGACAAGAAGGAGACGGATGATGAGGATGATCACGATGAGAAACAAGAGTTCATTTTTTTCAAACAGGATTGGAGTTCTGATCGACGAAGCCTTTGAACATGAACATGGACAGTCTATTAGAAGTGGCCGGCGTTGTGGTGGGAGGTGGGGCGGATGAAGGGGAGCCAAGGGAGGGTTTATGTGACGAAGGTTTCCTAGAACTGGGCTGACGTTTGAAGGGCAAGTGGGCTTGAAAAGAATCGATATGAGACTCGGTTTGCTGCTGCTTGGATGGAGGAGCAGGGTCGGGTACGTCGTTGAGGGTTGTACTCGTCGAGGAACTTAGGGGCAATTGGCAAGACTTGCGATGAGACGATGGGCGTTGCGGGGCGCGGGTTTTCTCATTAAGATGATGGTCCTGATGCTGATCATTATGATTCTTAGAGAAATCAAACAGCTTGGGTTTTCCGATTGGCGGTCTCTTTTCAGAGGCCGAAGGTTTTGTGTATGTGAATCGATTGCGGATCCCAGAGGCGACTCTTGCGAGCGATGGGCTGATCTCTTCATCAGGTGGTGCTGTCGTCGATGCGCTCCGTTTGGCGACTGTGGACAGCTTGGACGAAGGGGTCTGTACAAACCCGCGACAGATCCTTTTTTAAAGGTTGGTGGGATTGGAATGTGGATTGGGCCGCTTTGCGTCGATTCAGTCCCGTGTCCATCACCCTGATCTGTGCATCCTCCTCGTCATCGGAGCTAGGGATTGGATCGGAGCTGAGCGGGAGCTGTCGCGTCTGGCGAGAGATGGGCTCAGAGATACGCCGACCATTGATGACCTCGGCAATAGAATGATGATTATTAGGCGTGATGATCGTCACCCGGGGCTTGGTGATAGTTAGTTCACATTCTTCCGGTTGAGAGCTACTGATGAAACCATCTGAAAGGTCTTGACGCGCTTGGTTGGTGATTTCCAGCGACGATGAGGGACAGAAAGAGGAGTCAAGTTGCTCGTCCGTGAAGACCGGTTGACAGTTCTCCTTGTTCGATCCAGTAGAACTACTGCTGCGCGAAATTAAGGGAGCAGTGGAAGGATCGTGCATTTGACTGGACGGCAGGTCTTCTCCTATCAGTTTCTCGAACTCGATATCTCTTCCGAGATTATCCACCTTTGGATCGGCCGAGTCGTCTGTTGATAACTCCGATATTGCATCCCAGCTTTCTTGCGTCAGCGGTACTGCGTCTTCTGCTGGAAGATCTTCAATTGTCGTTTGTGTGGCAATGTAGCCTTGTGATTCTGAATCAGCTTCCGGAGGAGATGGACATATTGAATTCGGTTGTTTGCTGGGTTGACATTCGAAAAATTTACTCGGCTTGCCATTGACTGGGGTGATGCTTTTCGAGACTTGGGGGCTCGTAGGGCCCTCTCGACCGGAAGACCTTGCGGGGGTCGAAGAGACCGTTTTTGAAGTGGAACTGGATGACTCTAGTGAAAGCAAATATGGACAAAACGAGTTAGGGCGTGATGATGTATATGAGCAAAGGATACGCGCTCATGCATACAAGCAGCAGTTCGAAATTTTCCAAGAGACTAACTAAAGGCAAACTGATTCAGTGTGGATTGTTTCCCTGAACTACTCAGCGCTGGGCGACTCGGAGCCAACTGCTTAGGTATGGTTGTTTTAAGTTGATGGAACGGAGGTAAGTGCTTGAGTGTAGAGGATTGGGCTGAAAAGGCTTCTTTGGTCATTGGATCCACACGACCTTCTGCGACATCAATAGCAATCTGATCGGGCCATTTTTCTCCACATCCAGCTAGGGCTTGCGGGGAAGGCGGTGACTCTGGTAGAGGCGTGAGAGGGATCATGGTTCGAGTGGTGGGATCATAAACAAACTGATGTTCAAACGTCAACTCGGCTTCGCGGAAGGATTGCTCATACTTGGGTGGAACGGGTAGTTTACCATCGAGACGAGTGGCCTTGATGGCCTGTGAAAAGGTTGAAATGGTCAGCATGACTGGATTGAGAGCCTAGTGAGAATCATCAACTTGCCCGTTCAGCTGTCTGGTGTCTTCTTATCAAGTCATGCGCCTTCTTTATCCCAAGCCCGGGAATGCTAGACAGGTAATCACATCCGCTCAGCATGGCCATTTGTCTGAACTGCCGTTCATCCCATAGGCCCATCCGTTTATCATGAACCTGACCCAATTCGTCGCGACAGATGTGAATACAGTGGCCAGAGGGGTCCATTTTGAACAAGACGTTCCGAGCACCATAGACTAATAGATCCGAGTCTTCCGTGATGATTCCATGGACTTCTCCCTTCATCTCCAAGTATCGTAGCTGAGCATCTGCTTCATACGGAGCAACGACGTATTTAACACCCATCGAACGGAGGGCAAGGATGACATCGTGAGCTAGTCGAGGAGTGACATCAACCGCCTTGACGAATTCTTCGCGTGCTCGTTTTTGGTCGCCTTGGGCCAGCAGTTTCTGGGCATTGGCCAACGCAGTCCGACGCCGATTCTCGCGATCGTCCTCTGTGACCTTCTTGCTCGGGAGATGGTCGCCATCAAATACCACGTAGGCCGAGACACCGAACCTATGTAAGAGGTGGATCTTTTGCACGAAGTAATCGACGTGTTTGGTCGTCGGATTTCCTAGACATAATTCCTGTGCACAGTGGTACGCGCCGCGATGCAGCCAGACGTAGCCGTCGATCGCAAGAGTCTTTCCCGCCCAGTTTTTAAGATGTGATTCGCGTTGGATTGATCTTAGAAATGGCAGCAGGCCTTGGATTCCCATTTGAACTTATGTTGCTCCGGTATATCCAATCTGATTATTGTCGGATGTGAATTTCGGGAGGGTGGATGTGAATGAGAGGATATGGCCAAAGCGAACCTTGAAGAGGGGTAGTAGGATTAGGTGGTCGATGGGAATTTTTGATCGAAAAGGTAAAAGAAGGCCGTCCGAGGTGGATGATGGATGGTAAGACGTTCCTTGATCGGATTCTTCCAATCGGGGAGGGACAAGGACGATTCGGTGGTTGGTATGAGATCGAAAGGGGCACAGTCCATCCGAAGAAGATGATGACCCAGTGAGCTATGTAGTCAGGATATCGCTTGATTGGTTTTTGGTTTTGGTTCTTTGGAGGACTGGATGGCAGTGGGAACTTGGGAAGGTGGCGGGTCGCGTCGAGCGTGTTGTAACCCCTTTTTGGGGTCACCATCCACTCACTACATAGTAGTAGTAGACATTCAGACATTTCTCACTCTCATTCGAAACCATTATCTCATTCCTCAACAGAACCCTCCCCCTCTAGCTCCCCCTGCGGCCTGCAACTGCATCCACCCAGAGTGAACATATTCTGAGGGCTCTTACCACAGCACTTCCTAATTTGAAAATCAATTTTGGGCCCTTTATTTTGCACTTTTTTTAAACAGAATCAGAAACCAATTTGCCAGGAAATCTGTACCACACACATCACCACTTCCACTTCATCATCATCTCACCCATCCCTCAACACATTACAAATCCTCACAAACCACGTTCAACATGTCTACTGCAGCATCACACTTGATGCTCTTGATCTAGCTGCTGCTGTCATCATCATTCTTGATTGCTATCACACCAAAAGATATCCTTATTATGAAAATGGTGGTTGGGCCAGAC